TCCGAGCTCTAGATAAACGAGACTAAGCCACTGTTGAGAATCCTAGGAACGAGTGAAACGATCGTGAAATGAAATCGATCGGACTCGAATCGATGGGAAACGTTGGAGCTAACCCGTTTCCCGAGCGACTCGATTCCTCCCCATTTGAAGACAACGGTACTCTTCGTTTCCTCTCCGGTCTCGGAGAACATTAGTCGCTCGTTAACTTCCCGCTTCCGATCTCGATCTCTCGCGGCTCGCTAATTATGGAAGCAGGAAGAAAGGAGCGAGGCCCGGGACGGGAGTAGGAAGCTGATTTTTCCTCCTTCCGAGGCCCGAGATTCGCCGGGACGCGATTTCTCCTCTCCGCGAGCTCGCGCGGTGCGCGGAGAGGCTGGGAGGAAAGCGGCGCGAGAGAGACCTTGCTCGTTGATTTATTTTCCGGCCGCGAGAAAAACGGCTCGGCGATCTTTGTCGGTGGGACTGATACGATCCAGAAACGTCTTCGCGTGATTTCATCGGATCGCGCGGCGATCTGACTCACGCGCGATATTCCGTTTCCTTGTCGAGCCGCGGAACGCGCGAGTCGCTCCTCGCGTGCTCGAAGTCCTGTTCAGCCCTTAACCCTTCGCACGGTTTCGCATCTGGAATGTTAAACGCTTTCCGATCGGACCTGTGGACGATATTCCTTGAAACTGAGGGGAAAACGTACGCAAACTGAGGGAACGAGACTGTATCGGAGCGTTCTTCTTTCTATAATAAGTCTTTCGTACTTTCCTCGGTTTCATCGTTGCACTCGTGATCTTCGATACGTCTTCTTCGGAAGAATTACACGTTCGCCGATGTAAATACGACTTTTCGATGCCGACCGCCGGTCTGGAGTTAAATTATCCGACGCGGAAGCTCTCGGAAGCTCTGATAATTGATTCAATAATCTGCGGCTGCGCTTATTACCGGCCCACGGGACTCCGCCGCGTTTATCGGGCATAAGGATCTCGAAAGAATTATAAAACAGAAATTTTAATCAAATCTGGTACAGCCCCGCTTCGCTTTTATTCGGCGGAAACCATTCGCGGTATAAATTGAGTTCTATTTAATTCCAGTCCCTTCGGACGTCTCTATGGGAATCTACGTCCGCGCAAACTTCCGCGATCCTAATTATCGCTAATGAAATTTTCACGGCGCCGCCGGTTGTTTTACCGCGCGCGCTCCGAATCGGCCTCGATGCTCTTTAATTACAAAGGAAACGTCGAAATCCCGCCGCGTAAAGGAAACATTCTAATGCCTCGCAATAAAATGGCGACGCGGCGAACGACTCGGTGTCGTCGAAATTTCCCCCGCGCGCGCGCGATTCTCGTGGAGTAACTCGGCGATTCCACGAATTTATCTCGCGCCACTGTCGCGAGCGGAATTCCGAATTGTCGGAACGTCCGTCCGAACCTCTATCAACCCCGCATCAAAAGAGAATTGACGACTCACCGAATTTATCCTCGACCGCGATCGCATTCGACATTCCGAGCGTTTCTTCTTCCTGTGCGACGAACATTCCCTCGTCGGCTCTGTATCGAAACGGCGATCGCTGTCTTCCGTTCATCCTTCGCGGTGATGAAAGTACGAAGCTCTATATTAACCCTTTAAGCTTGAGAGGCGCCTAAGTCACCAAATGATTTGAAACAGCAAAACTGTAGACTTCGATATTTAATATTAAACTTCGTATAATGCATCGATGCACGAAATATTGAAAGAAAACTTCTGGAGTGCAAGGGTTAAGTTTTACGCGAGGCTCACCGGTCGTTCCGACCGATTTCGAAACTATTCGGAGAAATCGCAGAGACCGTTTATAATCCCATTAGCTTCCGAGCGACTCGTTTGTTATTCATACTGTTGTTCTTGGAAACAGACGATTAGAATATATGTATATAATTGTAGTATCTAGAATTTTTAGCGTGGGTTGAGGTATTTTTAAGAAGAGTGAATGTAAGAATGTGTGTGAATGAAGGACTGTAAAACGGTTCCTAGTTCTCGATTACTCAAGATCCACTCTTCCATTATCTATAATATAGTGACACTATATAATTATGAAAGCGGTCTGAGTCGACACGAACGAAATTAGTTTATCACTTGTTTCACTATTCTAAACTAGAAAATATATTACACTTACAATTGTACACATTCGATAGTGGCTGACCCAAGTGTTGATGCGACTATAAGTAAATATAAATAAAAGAAAAACATTCGTGCTGCATCGGTTCAAACCGATCATTTGCCAAATATCGAGAAAACTTGTCGATCGTGAACCTAAGGAAACTCCCGAGCCTGGTGTCAACCTGTTTCCTTGTTAACTCGGTGGAAAACAGCCGTATCTCGTTTCGGAACGTCGAATACTTCTACTGGAAAACTAGGGAAAGGGTTGATCCCGATAACGGCACGACGAAAGATCGAGTGGGCCTCCCGAGGCGACTGTATCCGGCGTCCCCCGGCGGCGGCACAGCGTCCGCGCTACTACCCCAATTCCGGGGGATGCGATCGCATCGACGGGAAAGTTCGCCCCGTGTGCCTCGGTCGGTGAATGGCCGGGGGAGGGTGAAAGCGCGGTTGTTCCTCGGTGAGTGGCCCTTTCCGAAATGGGCTTTCCGAGGCACGAGGAGAAAGCTCGCCGCTTTTTCGGACGACCCTTCGGCGGACGGGGGTGGAGGATCAGGGGCGTAACAAGGGCGCAGAAGGGCCCAGGCTGTCACCATGGTGACCGAGCGGCGTGTTGACCCGAGCCGAATGGCTTAGGCTGCTTTCACACGGCGACACGCGTGTAATGCCACGCTGTAATACGTCTCGTTTTGTCCCTTCGCTGCGCGAACCGTTCGAGGATCGACGACGACGAAACTCGAGTATATGCCTTGTTGCGTCCTTCTTTAACCCTTGGCACTACAGATGGTTTTGTAATTTTTATTTTTAAATTACTAATTTTTATGGTATCTCTAGAGTAAATGAGAAATGCTGTAACGTTTCTTGGATCCTTTGTTTTCCTTAGTGCAAAATTTGGATGTGTGGAGGATCTAATGATTTTAGTAGTTTCTTTGATTCATTAAGATATTCAATATTATAACTGGTGCAATATTGGAGCCTATAGAGTTCAAAGGGTTAACCCTTAGCACTCCAGATGGTTTTGTAATCTATTAGCGACTAATTTTTATAGTATCCCTAGCGAAAATGAGAAATGCTGTAATATTTCTTAGATCCTTTATTTTCCCTAGTGCAAAATTTGGATGTGTGGAAGATCTAATGATTTTAGTAGTTTCTTTGATTCATTAAGATATTTAATATTATAACTGGTGCAATATTGAAGCGTATAGAGTTCAAAGGTCTAAACACGCAATGTATAGACCTCCCCAAGCTCCGCCAGTTGTTTCACCACTAGAATTCCAATGCAACCGCGTTATATCGAATCATGCGATATTCAGAAGCTCCCTGAATCTCCGCTGGCTCTCCCGAAGCTGGGAGAAAAGAAAAAGAACTGGGAAGAACCGCGTTATATCGAATCATGGAATATTCAGGACCTCTCTAAACCTCCAGCGGCTAGGATTTGAAAAAATCAACGTCGCACTGTGCGGCCAACCGTTTTCTAGATATAAATCAATAATCAGAGAAGTGTGAGTGATACAGTCAAATACTCGAAGTCTTTTCCTTCCAATTCCAACGTTACATAAACAGAAAAACCGAATTTATTCGCGGAAAATTGTGATGTTTTAAATCAAAATCATTCCGTATAGCAGAAACTACTCAGCAAGACATCGATAACCTACAATTCTCGTTACACGAACAGTCGAATTATAGGGTTTCCTTCCGAAACCGTCGAAATAACGATCATCGCAGCGTGAAATCTATGTTATGTCCCTCTTTCCTCCAGAAATTCGACAGATTTTGAGAAGAGCTGTTGCCTGGCCAGTGTTGTTGCCAGCAGCAGCAGCAGCAGCTGCGAGCACGTGTCTCTCTCTCGGCCGCGAAAGTGTGTCAGCCGCGTGTGCGTGCGCGCACAATGCCACGGGTCAGGCAGAAATGGGTGGCGTGTGGGTGTTTACGGTGCCGGCTCCGGGACAACCCTCGAATTTCCATCCTCGTCCCGTGCACGCGCGGCGGCCGCGGCGCGAGCAGGAGGAACCGAGGGAATCGGCTCTCCTCGCAGTTTTGTCTTCGCCGCGCGATACTTTCTCGTTGCCTCTCCGCGCGCGCGCTTTTTACTCGCGGCGAACTTTTCTTCCGATTTCCTTCTCCTCTTTCTCCGCTCCGTAGAGCTTCGATTATATCGATCGACAACGTGTGAACCAGATTCTTCGTTTACGTCTTTCGCCGTTTCTCGATCGGTGGATCGTGATCCGTTCCTCGACGCGATCGCGAGATCTTTTCGAGTATTTTCGAGTATTTTCGAGTATTTTCGAAGTTTTTACGAGAGAACGAGGTTCCATTGGGTGGATCTTTCGACGTGTTGCTATGAGAATGATGAAAATTGCGGAGACGTCTAGATATTAGTGATTTAAACCCTTTGCACTCGGGAGGTGACTCTCACTTGATTTCCTGCAGTGAAGCTATAAAGTTTGATATTTAATATTATACTTCGTACAATGCATCGATCTAAGAAATATTTTTTACGAAATATCGTCTTCATCTCATCAGGAAATGTTGAAATATATCTAGAGAAAAACTTCGGAGTGCAAAGGGTTAACTACTTGCGCTGGAAATTAATTCAGAAATTTGGCAAAGTCTTGAATTTTGTTTTTACCTATTTTACGCTATGTACACTTATGTACTTTTGTTTGTTAATCATTGTATAGTGATACATTTCGAAGTGATCTAACAGGCGTAGTGCAAGATTATCCGTGTGTGACTGACATCATTGAGAATTTTGGAATAGAAACGTCTCGTCTTTCCAGCGCGAGTGGTTAAGATGAGGATTGTTGCGATCATTTAATTTTTTATTAAGAATACGGAGGGGATCGATGATCAATTCGACAAGAAAGTCAACGTACCTTCACTCGGGTCCGGCTCTCCATGTACTCGTAGAGCAGTCCCAGCGGGCCGAGGGCGTTCTGCATTTTCGAGAGGACGTTCCTCCCTTCTAGGATCCATGTTCGTCCGGGTCTCGTGCCGGCCACGGGCTCTGCGCACCATAAAAAGACTGCTGACTCGAAAGTTGATCGGTCCGCGGCGCTATCGTTCGACGAACTTAGTGGGAGACCGGTACGAACTTCATAAAACCGGGATCGGGAGTAGTTTCGCCCGTTAAGGGCCGATCGGGCCGATTCGATTCTGGAAACCGGGATCGCCGGAATCTTCACGAAATCCGGCAAATCGAACTGTCCTGCCGATATCGAGATATCGAGGTGAAACGATCATCGTATCCGTAACTGAAGATTGACCTCTACGATATATCATTTGCAGAATCGAACACGAGATTGAAATGATTCAACCTCAATAGAATAATCATTCACAGCCCTATTCCCATTTCGTTAAATATACCTCAGTTTGTCGATCTTCTGTGAAAACTCTGATTCCTCCTCGCAGTCATCAAGATGTTCCTCTAAGAAATCATTAACCAGTCCTATGTCGAGTCAGACTCGACATATTTCATTGCAACCTCTACCTGTTTTAACAATTTTTTCTATATTTCTAGCATCACAATTGTACCATTTAAAGGTAACATTTCAGTGGTTCCCAAATATTCTTGAATAATTAAATAGATCGTCATATAAAGCTGCAATCGAATGAACTAACGTCGACGTGAACCTCAAAGCGAGAAATTAAGAGCCCTTGGGACCGCAGAGGGTTAAAGAAACTGATTCACCACGCAAACTGAATTCCAAATCGATCGTCCCAATGGACACCCTTGTAGTTCCTACAGAGAAACTTCGAGAACTCGATTTCACCCTTCGCTCGAAGCTCCTTCGAAATAAAACCTTCGATAGACGAAGCTAAATGATCGACTGAAACGATAAACAAGAGGAAACTACGTACCGATCTCCGTTCAATTAAATCATTCGTTTACAACTTGGTATTCCAAACGCGAAGGTTCGACAGAGAGCAATTGCACAGTTCGAATACAATGTTCGTTTGGTTCTTCGCTTGCAACGTTCTAATTAAACTTCATCGAAACGATAACATTTGCTGTTTAACCCCGATACCGCCGATGTCGCCGAAAGTTTGCCCTCACTCCCTGAAGACCGACGTCGCGCCGAACGTGTCGAGCGAGATCTAACGCGGACAAAAGGACGGCGAAAAAACGGGGACCGTTGCGGCGCGATAACCGCGTTTAACGGGTCAATCGGCTCGGTCCGCCGCATCGAATCGGAATCAGCGACGTCTTCGCGTGCCCGTGCAGACGTCCCGGGAGGAAAACGCGTGGTATCGATCACAAAGGACTCGTCCGACGGCCATCGTCCGGCGAAGATGGTTATCGGCGTAACGAGTGGACGGGGTTCGGGCATTATCCCCGCTGATTTTTCCGCGCGGCGATAACGGCCCGCTAATAAGAATTTATGTGGCTCTCGCGCCTCGTCGATTCGCCGACAAATCATCGTCGATCGTTGCGCGAGCCGCCGCGCAGATACCATCGCGCTTCTAGTTCTCCGTCTTTTCGCTCTGCCCTGACGGCGCGACGGCGTGCCGATTTTCGTACTGCTCGATGGAATCAATAGTATTCTGTCCAGCTAATAAGGGTGCACTCGATTCTTCGTTTGTCCTAGGTCAGAGGCTTGTGTAACTTCTGAATGTGTTGTATAATCATTGTAGAAACGAGAAGAGTAACAATAGGAGAAATTAACAAAATGGCTTCCGAGCGACTCGATTGTATAACATCTGATATTTTTTTTAGAGTCATGAATGGAACGAATAATATCCTGTCCAGCTAAGGGTTCACTCGATTCTTCGATTGTCCTAGGTCAGAAAGTAGCTTGTATAACTTCTGAACAAGTTGTATAATCACAGTAGAAACCAAAACAGTAACAGGAGAAATTAACAAAATAAATGGCTTCCGAGCGACTCAATTGAATAACATCTGATGTAACCGAAAGCGAAGCAGTAAGAAAAAGAAAACATCAAAATAAATAGCTTCCCAGCGACTGGTGCAATTAAATAACATCCGACTTAACTATTTCTGGAAGCTAACCAACAACGAAACACCGCGTGTCGAATCTAACGGCGCGAATCGCGGGACACCCGAAGAAAATGGAGAATTCCCATGAATTCGAGCGCATGTGCGGGGACAACGAACGGAGAAGGACGCCAGGCGCCGGGTCTCCACGCGTCGACGGCGATCATCGGCGCTTATAAATATTTGATTACGATAAATTATCCTGCGTCCGGGCGAGGCACGCGCTAACGTCTCCCGTAATTTTCTCTCGGCAGGCGTTTCGTTAACTAGTCGCGACGGCGAAAGTATTCGTCGTGCATCACCAGTCGCCGCGAGTTAACGGGCCGCCCGAACGCGCGCGCGGCTCGTTCTACGGTAGAGCCCCGATGATTGGCGAACGGACGCTGCTCGTGAATAAACGAAACGAGGCGCGAGGAAGGACGCGGACTTTGCTCTTATCGGTAATAAGACAGAGTCTTTCATTCCCGACAACCGATCTCGCTCGAACTTTTCTTCGACGAAACTGAATCGAATTCCGTCGAAGACGCCGTTGGTCTCTTTGAAACTGAAATACTCCGATCATCGGTATTCGATTCGTAGAGGACGAATTAAGAGTGAAGTTTCGAAAGTAATTGCTTGAAACTGTTTAAAGGTTGCAACGGATGGAGAACCTCTATTCCTAAGTAGATCTTCGTTCGAATGAAAGTAGCATCAGATGGAAAATAGCTTCTAAACGCGACAAGTACCGTGTGCATCGTGTGCGCTTTCAAATCCCCACGCGTCAAGGTAACTGCAACTGTCCAAGTATCGACATCGATGCAACAATTGAGTCGCTCGGAAGCCGACTCGATGGTTCGGTGTTTCCTGGTCGTCGTGAATCTTCATAGAATAAATCGTATTCTATTGCAGTATTCAGAAAGCCCTTCATTTTGAAGCCTCCGAATATCTGGTACGATCATTTCAAAAGAAACAGGAATTTCCAATGTTTCTTCGCCAACCGCAGTAGCTTCTGAGCGACTCAATCCCCGAAACGCAGAAAGACGGAAGCGAAACGACCCAATCCCAGGCGTCCACGTTCTACCCGGGTCCATCCACTCGAGTCGAGTCGGAAACCGCGATCGCGAAGGATCCGAGAGCGATAGGTTCGTCCCTGCGTTGGCCGGCTTGCGGCGCGGAAAGAGGAACGGCGCGGAGTTACGTAAAGGCTGGTCGCGGCTGTACAAGCGGCGCGTACGGTGCACACGAGTGCACTTATTTCGCTGGTGTGCGCTCGCGAGTGCGAACACGAGAGCGGGCGAGCTGCACGCGCCGCTTCACACGTATCTGCTCTCGCGGCCGATCGCGTCGCGTCGCGTCGCGTCGCGTCGCGTCGAGCCGATCGAGGCAAGCGTGCGAGCTCGCGACGGGATTCGACGCTGCCAATTAGCTTTCTCCGATAACTTTCATCCACCTTAAGGCGCACTCTCGTCTCTGCGCTCCCCGGCGAGCGGTCTCGCTTCTTTTCCACCTTTCTTTATTCCTTTCCGCGTGCGCCGGGCTGCCTCGCTCGCTTGCTCGCTCGCTCGCGCGCGCCACTTTCACTATCGTCGCGATCCAATTCCACTCGGCGCGCGAGGCGACTCTAGCCGACGAGGGTCCGTCTCTCTGCTCTACAGAGAATTTTTCGACGCGCGACCACCGCCGCGCGTCGGCCGGCGATTTCTAAAAATAAAAACGCGGCTGCGAGAGGCTGCCGGCTCGGACCGAGAGACGCTGCGAGCGCGATTCGGTAAAAATACGCGCCCCCGTCTCGAGGACCGAGGGTTTTCACGGGGGTACGGTGTCTCGTGTCGGTGAAATTCGAAATTTCGGACTCGCCTCTCGCTTCTCCGTCGAGCGATTAGAACTAATCGAATCTGTGTCTTCGCGTGGAAGCTTGAACAGCGGAGAGCTCTCGGAATTCGAAGTTCCTTTCACCTTTATGTTGAGGATTTCCCATAGAATTTCTATTCTTTCGGTTTAAGAAGCTTCGTCGAGCTTCCAGGGTTGCTTCTAGAAAGTTTGACGCTGGTAGGAACGAAGCGTCGAGCAGCGAAATCGCCGGACGGCTCGAACGCTCGCCAATTCTCGCGTCGCTCGATCGCGAACGGTCCGCGGCGAAGACGCACGCGCGTAGGCGATCGCTCGCCGATTACCGAAGTCCCGTCACGGTGCATCGGGCTCGGGGGTGGGGGTGGTGAGAATCGACGAAGAAAGTTTCTGCGATCCCATGGCCGGATACCGCGTTCACTTTCGGTCTACCTTGGAAATCTAAGCGCGCCTCGGAATTAGAGATTCCGAGAGATAAACGGCGGCAACACGTTCGCCTTCGAGCGACAAGGTGGTCCGGCATCTAAATCGGACGATCGCTTATCGTGAGGTCATCCCGGGATTATTACCGCGGCCACTCCCTCCGATAACATTGAATCTCGATGACCTCTCGCCGGCGTTCGGACTCGGCTCTTTCGATGCTCGTTCTCGCCTTTCTTCGCGCGGCACTCCGCGACGGTCGCGTCGTCGCCATTGATACGGTCGAATCGACTTTTTGCAATTATCACGAGAAAGTTGTACGTTACGTCGTAACGATATAGAGAACAGTGAAACAGTTCGGAACAGGTACAAGGCAAAGGAGATTCCGCAGCCGGTTTATCTGAACAGTTTATCGCGACCTTTAGACCGCCGTACCTCTAATCAGCCCGAAGACTCGGTGAAAATTCAGCTTCCATACGGAACAGACAGTCGACGAGTAAAATCCTCCAAATTTCAGAGATTCAAGTGACTCTTAAAATAACCGATGCAATCATCCGCGCCAAGCCAAACACGTTCGAGCGTGAAATTATCGAAGCGCGTATGAAACAAGTCAAGATCGTTCGTTGCATCCTAATCGGTTGTACCGAAGTTACTCACCGATCGTCTCGGTGAAATCAGAACCGATCCATTGGAAAAAGCCATCGCGTTCCGATAATGTCGAACGAAGAAATCGGCAATGCGAAGAATCTCGAGAGCAGCGGAAG